TGCCATACTTGAAGCAAAGCAGGGAGAAGCCCAAGGGTGAGCCAGCACTCTTGTTGCTTAATGTAGACTGGCACTGATGTGAGTATGCTAGACGAACTTCCTCTTACTTCACTCCTGTTCAGTCTAGTCCTGCGTCAACTGCAGATGGGCAGTCGCAGAATGCAACTCCATCGCCTCTTGAGCCTCCTTCCACTCCAGTCTCGTCAATTTCATCTGCCATCGAGTTTCAAAAAGTCCCGGATGTAGTCGTTGCAGGTGCCCTCGCGGTCGACTTTTCGTGTGACTATGCTCCATTCACGGCTTCTGCAAGCCAAACAGAACCACTACCTCACACCTCGAACCCAGCAGTCATCACCCAAACACTCGGAGGAGTAGCACACAACATCGCAAAAGCCTCTCACCTCCTCGGCTCATTCGTCCATCTCCACAGCGCCGTCGGCGACGACCTGAGCGGCCGCGCAGCCCTCAGCCAGCTGCAATCAGAAGGCATGCCAACAACCGGCATCAAAACCCTGCCAGCCCCATCCCGTACAGCCCAATACGTCGCCATCAACAACACAAACAAAGACCTCGCCCTCGCCATGGCCGACATGTCAATCCTCGAAACCATCCCTGTAGAAACCATCCAAGAACTAGCGACCAGCATCTTCACCACCACCTCCCCCCGCCCCAGAGTCTTCGTCACAGACGCAAATTGGTCGTCACCCGCTCTACACACTTGGCTCCAAGCTGCCCGTCACCCAGATACGACGACGATCTTCGAGCCTGTCTCTACGGCAAAGGCGCTGCGTATATTCCCTTCCACCTCCAGCGCAACTGCCACAGCGGCACAATCCATCTACCCCACGCCCCTCGCCGACATCATAACACCAAACACGTACGAACTCACCGCTCTCCACGATTTCGCTGCGCAATCGTCACTCTTCGAGTCACCGGAATGGTTTGGCGTGATTGATGCGCTGGGTATACCCAACGGCGGATTAAGAGTACCCCTCGCGGTTACAGTGGGAAGTGAGTTGGTGGACCAAGGCATCCCCCAACAAACCATCAAACTCCTCCCCTTCTTCCCTACCATCCTAACGAAATTGGGGAGCAAGGGCGTGTTGATGACGAAACTCCTTACTACCGACGCAAACGAATTGCACGACGAGAAGGAGAGGGCGTATGTGCTTGCGAGGAACCTTTCGTCGATGGATTCAGCTGGTAAAGATGGGAAAGGCAAGGGCAAGGGCGTTGGCGGTCTGTATATAAGACTCTTTCCGGTGGAAAAGGTGCTACAGCCCAGTGAGGTGGTTAGTGTAAATGGGATTGGCGACACATTCTGTGGGGCGGTTGCGCATGGTTTGGGTAGGGGAAGGGAGGTTAAGGATGTTGTGGGGTTTGCGCAGAGGGCGGCGGGGGAGAGTTTGAGGAGTAGGGAGGCGGTTGGGGAGGGGTTGAAGGCGTTGACACTTTAGGACTTTTCGTGTTATTGTGAACGAATGCACCTCTTGGCTATCATGTCACCGTCACATCGAGTACATACGCTGTTGATGTTCAACCCCCTGGCAGTGGACGACACTATGGATTACTGATCCTGCAGAGCAGCCAAGGCGGCAGTGCTGAACCCGCTAGATGGTAGATACATGCAGGGGGTAGTAGGTAGCCTTCAGAAAGCCGCCGACGGTACTAACCGCTGCCGTTGCATATCCTCCGCAATAAAGTCCCTGCGTAAATCTAAATCAACTTGGCAGGACACGGAACGGAGTTGATGTGGCTGTCATCCGGATCGGATGTCAATTAGGACACCGACATCCGCCAGCGCCGCCGAATTAGAGAACGAGGATTGCAAAGCACTGACTTCACGTATGCAAGTTTCATTCGCGTCTGCCTCACGATAGGATGAAGCGGCTAGTCATACGGTGTCGTTTGTAAGCGATGGCAGTCCCGTAGTTGTGGTAAGACTCTAGGCACTGACTAGCATACTCCGTGGCCCTGGGTGTAGTTATACACTTAGCCGGATGTGGCATATTGTATAAGCAAGAATGGTAACGGTATAGGGTTGTACCATGCTTCACGTTCTAGCTTGGTCGCCTTGTCTGCTTGTCGGTGAGATGGAATCGGCCCTCTGTAGATTGAATGCTTATGGTCATGGCTTCATTGTATCCCGCGATGGAAGAACGAAGAGCATATATAAAGCATCGTAGACCACCTCGAAGCTTCATCAACACCAGCATCGTACATCAGTGTATAACAGTTACTCAACACCTTTACTTACAACTTACCGAACGTTACGTTTCCAACAACATTCCTCCAACCTCGAAATGGCACCCGAACAAAAGCCAAAAGGATACCGATGGGACATTATCACAGCGGAAGAACTGCAATACGCTCCACCCTACTTCCAAGACGTCCCCGAAACCACCACCGAGGTAGAGTGCAAGCTCAGCGGCACATGGCCCAAATGGCTCCATGGCTCCTTCCTCCGGTACGGGACCCTACACTATCCATCCCATCCATCTCACCGCAACTCCCAATTAACACCAACAACCACAGAGTCGGCGTAGGCCGTTTCACAGTCCCCACCTCGGAAGACGACTCCACACCCCGAGTCATCATCCAGCACCTCTTCGACGGCCTGGCCCTACTCCACAAATTCCGCATGACGGACGGTCGCGTGTACTACATGAGCCGGTACACTTCCAACGGGATCACGAATCAAGCAAAGAAAGACGGCTACGTCAAGAACTCGTGGGTGGGACCGAATCCCAATACGCCTCTTTTCGAAGCCCAGGATCCGTGTTCGAAATTACTTGGGGCGCGTGTAAGTCTGATCGTTTTATATTCTATGTCATGCGGATCTATGAGAAGTGATGGGAAGGCTAATGAAGAGTGGATGTAGCAAACGGTTTTCCTGCCCCATGAATCCATCGAACCAGACGCTCTTAATGTTCATGTCCAGCCGAGACGCGGTATGCATTTACCGGAGGATAAGAATCCGAATTCGAGGGGTGTCAAAGCGGAGGATCCAGCGACACAGGAGGTAAGACAACCCCCATCTCCATTCCATGCCAAAAGAAACCCACGAAGCTCACAAAAAGACATAGATCCTCGTTCACACCGACTGGAACTGCATGCAAATCTGCGATGCAAAGACGCTCGAGCCAAAGCGCTTACTCTCCCATGCGGTCATCGATCCCGAGCTCGCTGGAACAGGGTGCTGCGCCCATCCCGTTCATGATCGCAAGCGAGGAACGACGTACAATTACTTGATCGATGCGGCGGGGGTCATGTATATTTTCGCGCTGGATGTGGTGGCGAATCCGGCGCGTCTGTTGTGGAAGTCGCCGCTGCCGTGTAAGCCGTGCTACACGCATGCTCTTGCTATGACGGACAAATATGTTGTGTTTGTCAGGAACGTAAGTAGTAGTTCCGAAGGGGTGGATAGGCGGTATGTGGATCGAAACTAACATGCCGATAGCCTGTTATATTGGATCTTAGTGATCCGAGCAAGACCCTCGTCGAGGCCATGGTATGCGAGCACGAATCGCCTGTGTACTTCTACGTTCTAGACAAGGCCGACGGCAAGGTGTACGTCTCTCCTATTCCTTTGTCTCCAAATTCCCCCAAACTAACACCTCCCAGCATCGCATCCTACCAAGTCCCAAACTTCTACTTCTTCCACACAGCCAACGCCTACGACTACGTCGACCCCAAAACAGGGCACACAAACGTCCATGTCGACATCGCTAGCTACAAGGCCGAACACTACCCGTACCACGAGTACGCCATCTCGAACGTCATCAACCCGCTCAAGCCCTACCAAGTCGGCCGTCTCGTCCGCTACGAACTCGCCGCCGTCAACACGCGCGATCCCGCCGTCGTCGCCCGCGGCACCGTCAAAGCCGCCATCCCAAACATGATGGCCGAACTGCCACGCATCTCCAAAGCCGCATCCATGGACCCAAACTACCGCTTCGTCTACGGCGTATCCGGAAACGGCATTGCCGCGCCGGGCACAGATGTTCCTATCGGGCGTCTCGGTAACGGCGTCGACATGCCTCATGCATCTTTCTATGGCCACCTCTTCAAGTCTGATTGGCGGACTGGCACGTTTAAAGCGTGGGTGCCGCAGAATGGCGAGAGTTGTCCTACGGAGCCGATTTTCATTCAGAGGCCTGGTGCGGTGGATGAGGATGACGGCATTGTGATTACGATTACGATTAATAAGGAGGGGACGAATAGTATTCTTGTGGGGCTTGATGGAAAGACTTTCGAGGAGGTGGCGAGGGCGGATATGCCGCAGGTTTATGCGCTCGGGCCGCATGGGTCGTTTGTTGAGGGCGATTTTGGGGTGGTGAGTCGTATGGGGCGGGAGGTTGAATGAGTTTCCTTGGGTAGAGCGTATGGGTTTGCAACATTGCTGTCCATTATCCTGGAGAGGTCCTGATCTGGTATGAAGTGCAGAATGTCAATACGATATTCGAAGATGTAGAGGCTCGTCAGTTTAGTTTACGATCTTCCTCATTCGGAATGAGGCTTTTGCTTCCTTCCTCTGGCTGAAGTCGCGCGGGTAATGACACAATGATCGGAGATCATGAATACGTTGCCGTGTATGTTGTAGCTGGAGTGCAGGGCTTGCCTTTTGATCCTCGTAAGTCTAGAAGCAGCTCGGAGCCAATCACCTGGAATGTACATCGTCTCTCATATTGTTGTCTTGATTGCGACAATCGGAGCTGGTAGCGGTACATCCATGGCCTAGCTTGGGTTGATCCCTGAACCAAAGCATCGCTATCACATAGCTAACCGGGTCTCCATGCTTGCGATAGCCGTTCAACAAACTGGTAGCCTACCGTACTCGAAGCAAATACCCCGCATTTGCGCACGATCCTATAAACGTAAGGGGTCGCTTTGTTCAACCCTTGCATGCTCCCACATTGCTCTCAATCTTCGGTATCTCATCGTGCAAAAACCTTTCAGACTTTCGCATCTAGCTTTGACACGTCCTACGCGTCTACAACATGTCCGTCGTTGTCACTCAGGCCTCCCATTCCGGCTGCATGGACGATGAGCTGGCTGCTCTGGCGCTGCAGCTCGAGGAGCTTGGTGTCTACTCCGATTCTGGCAAAGGGAAGCATCCCATGGACCAACCTCCCGATATCGACCTTGCCTATCGCCAATTCCAGGAAGAGCTTCAAGCTTACACGAACTTTCTTGCCGACCAAAAGCTTGCTCAGAGCATTGGCGCTGCTGTCCACTCTGACAGCATTGCCATTGGAGACCTTACCCACCAAGATGTTCAAGCCCATGAAGACCGCCGTTTTGCGCTGGAGTTGAGCAGCAACGACCCTGAGATTGAAGCCCCGCCTCCAGTTGTGCACGGCGATCTTCAAGGTGAGGTCTACGACTGGATGTCTACCGTATCCGGAAATATCGCTGCTACCTCAGTCGTCGAGTTCTCCGATGATGAGACAGAGGCCGGACCGTCTATGTCCTACTTGGAGCGCCAGGCCGATATCATCAGAAAATTATCGACGGAGTTCAAGTGCTGCACTTGTCTGGACCGCTTCCCCCGCGCCTCCATGGTCAAAGCAAAATGTGGCGATCGCTACTGTGTTGGTTGCGTGAAGGAACTCTTCATGCGGTCAACAAAAGATGAGGTTCTGTATCCTCCTAGGTGTTGCAAGCAACCTATTCCGCTTGACCTGGTCGCCAGGCACATGGCTCCGGACGAACTGACTATCTTTGAGCTGGCGGTCGTGGAATACGCCACGCTCAATAAGACGTACTGCAGCAACCACGACTGTAACACCTTTATTGTTCCCGACAGTGTTGAGCCTGGTACAAACCGCGCAGTGTGTCCCAAATGTGATACGGACACCTGTTCTCTCTGCAACAAAGCCTTCCATGGGGAGACTGACTGCCCTGACGACCCGGCGCTTCGACAAACTCGGGAGTTGGCACGCCAGATGGGATGGCAGACCTGTTATTCCTGTGCCCGAGTGGTGCAGCTGCGAAGCGGTTGTAACCATATGACGTGAGTCGTTGTCGCTTCTTAGGTGTAAGCTATACTAACTCGTCGAAGATGCCAGTGTAGTTCTGAGTTCTGCTACGAGTGTGGCACGCGCTGGAAAGAATGCCGTTGCCGTACGGCAGATCCCAATCGCATCGTAGAGCGTGCAGAAGAGATCGTGGACCGAGACGCTGGACCGAACATACTTCCTGATGAGTGGCGTCTGCGTGTTGACAGGGTAGCTGCCGAGTTGCAGGATAATCATGAATGCGAGCATTCGCGACGCTTCCAGCGCGTTTTTGATGGCGCGCCGAGGAGAGGCTTCAGATGCGAGATGTGCGATGCACGCCACCACAAGTACATCTTGCAGTGCCGCTACTGCTATGTCAACGTCTGCGAAGACTGCCGTCGCAACCGTATCTGAGGACGACCTTGAGTCGCTGTAACAACTCTCATCAATCGCTACATCTCTGTTATTGGGAACGTTTCCACTCCTTTGATGTCCATCACCAAACGGACTTCCACTCATTAGATTAAAGTAATTCAATCAGGATCTTATCTGCCAATTAGCCTCGTGTTCCGCAAGGTTTTCTTTGTTCTCGTATCCGCCAGGGAGCAAGCGAGCACTCATATCCGGGTAATTCGACGGTACCGTATAAGTCGAAGGCATGACTCTCTCTGTCAGGACATGCAATAGACAACACATTAGAAATCTCTTCCAATCAATCCCTTCTCTTTCCGCAAGCGATGTTGCTACGTGCAGTCTTCAACCTCGTAGTGTTCGGCGCATGCGTTGCTGGCCTTCATATACGCAACGAGATCCGACAAACCGACTGCGACGAGCTCGGAAACTATCCTCCGTACACCGGACCGTGCGAAGTCGAAAGTAAGCGCATATATGAGTCTCCGGCTCTCCCACGTTGAAGGTGCGCGACGCGCTGACTGCAAGCTAGACTGCGGCGCAGGGCGACTCAACTGCTTGAAGCAGGTACCGCCATACACCAAATGCGTTGGTTATCCGACTGTTGGTGAGTATGCGTTTTTACGACATATGTTTTAGTAGTTGACGAAGAAGTAGGCTGTCCTTTCATAGGATGCGCGTGTACAAGGTAGGAAGGCTGGGGATGACATCACCAACAACGGGGTTAGGCTGGAAATGGCTTAGTGCCAATGTTCGTTCTTTCGTCCATCCTTCGCAGGGGCGCGTCTTCTCTCTGTCTTTCGCGCACAACCCTGAGGGGTCTCTGCCAAAACGCGGGACCTGACTCGCACATATAGAAGACCGCCATCCAGAAACTTGGTTCTTATCGATGCCCAGGCGAATATATTGCTTACACGATCTGAAAATGCGCGGCCAATCATTGAGCGAGCGCAAGCTGAACCCTCTTCCCCGCTGGTTGCCATTGTTCTCAGACTGCTGCCTGAATGAAACATAACAACATCGCATAATCTCGTCCTCCTTCTCAGTACTTCACCTATTCACGGGCCAGAAACATCATACCCATACAAACAGTCTACCAACGAGCTAGCCCGTTCGCTTGCGCTATCGAGTCCAACATGGCAACGAAAACCCCGTTTGTCCGCACGTATAATGCATCAGCCGATTTCAAAGACGGACTCCACGTGGTATGCGTCACAGCGTCGATTCATTCGTCACCGTCATCCTGACGAAAGCCACAGTTCCTGGAAACCATCGACCCAGGTCTTGACTGGGAGCCAGCGCGCACCATAGGCTTACGTCTCTGGTACAAAGCCTACGTTGATCTAACACCCGAAACATGCTACGTACTAGATGACGGTAACGGGCGTGTGATGGGTTATTGTATCGGCGCCGCTGATACAACGTCTTTTGCGCAGCGCTGGCGCGACGTGTTCACTCCGACTATCGATCCGACACTTGTGCCACATCCGGATGTTCAGACTGGTGATTCGCGGATGGAAAGAGAAGACGCTAGGCACTTTCGAAAGGCTGTGTATGAAGCGGATTGTAGTATGCTGCTGCCTTGGCCGCCAGTGTTAGAGCAATATCCGGCGCATTTGCATATCGATATTCTGCCGGAGTATCAGAGGAAGGGGTGGGGTTCTATGCTCATACAGCATTTCCTGGGTGCAGTTAAAACATTGGGTGCGAAGGGGGCTCATCTTGACATGGTGCAGTCGAATACGAGCGCAAGAGCTTTCTACGAGAAAGTGGGATTTCAGGTTTGTCCGCATGTACTAGATGATGGAGCGAGTGGCCAGCCTGGCGTCAACGGCATCGTGGTCACGTTGGTCATCAGTCTATGAACACTCCAAGTATCGTCAACGTTGTTACTTATCCTATTGTTCTTCGCATCAGGTTGAAATTTGTCGCATGAAAGATCTATGGGCTGTTCTACAGCTGTTTACAACGTGGCCGTAAAGTCACCGTCATGTCGAACTACCCTTACCTCGCGTAGTCTTTCTTGCGCCTGTTACTCGCACTGACCGTTCCAGCATGTTAAGAAATGTCAACGCAACACTTGCGCAATCGTACTACTTAACATTTCCGGAAGTGTTACGGAGACGATACTCATCTCTGACGAAGCGCTTCCTCCACGCTGGAAGCTGAGTCAGTACAATCCAGCGCAGTCATGCAGACAAAACATGTTCAGATGCCAACGGATCTGCCGTTGTCAGCCACAGTGACAGACTTTTTCGATCCAGATATATAAACCCCTCCTCTATTCCTTACATCCGGAACCAAAAGGCAGACACCGACATCGCAAAACTAAGAGACCGCCCGCCATGCCTCACGCGACCCAACATCCAGCTCTTGCGCCCGCCGCACCTCCCACGAAAACATTGGTTGCGCCGAATGGTAAAGCTCGATCTGACAGTTTTATGAGCGTCCACGAAAGGAAAGACCTGCAACAAGCACATGCACTGAACCCACTCGACCCATTTGAAATTGACGGCACACCTGTAAACGAGTGCTCGACTGCAGCACCATCCGAACACGATCTCGAAGAGCTGAGATCCACCCTCACTGAAGCCAGGAAAACCATGTATGCTGCTATGAATAGATATAGCGACCTACACTGGATCGGTGAGCTTCTTTACCAGCTCCCAAGCTCACCTCAGGTCTATGCCGTTTCGGAAACACCAGTCGAGGATTCAGATTACCCAGCACAGAAGACTTTAGCGAAAGCGCCACGTCCGCCTCCTCCCAAACCAGAACCTCTCTCGCGTGATGGCTTCATTAAACTCCTGGAAGATGAACACCTAACCTGGCTGCTCGAGCACTTAGACTCACTACCCGTTCTGGATGACTATGCAGCTGTAGCTACTGACGACCCTAAAAAGAAGCGCTGTAGGGTTGGTAAGCCCATAGGTAAGATTCTGAGAAAGGATCAAACTGACGATCTTGAGAGGAGGCTGTGCTGTTTACATGCGACTGAAGGGGGCTTTGATAATCAAATGAAGATCAAGGGGGGGAAGAAACCATGGAAGTGCTGGCCAATTAATGCCGATGAGCCTGTGTTGGGGGATGACGAGGATGAGGATGAAGATGGTGAGTAGGGTGTGTTGGCTCTACAGTATCTAGTAGCAACACATATCGTAGTCATGCCAGCACGTGTATGCTTTTGCGAAATGATCGTCTGATATGCGCATGCTGTTCTGCTGCTAAACCTTACTGTCGTCCAACATCTCGTGTTGTTTCCAAGATCAAGAGACAATAACTCCAAATAAACACAAAATACCATCGACCGATTTGAATTCAAAAGCCAGTGCTATACCTAACAAGCCAAGTCTACATTCTAGCCAACGCCCAAAGCCAAACTCCCAACGCCCGCGACCCACTACCACCAAACCACATTCACTTCCCCAACCCCTTCTTCACCGACCCAACCAATCCCTCCACAATATTCCTACCCGTAGTAAACAGCGTCTCATACCACTCCATCTCCGCTGCATCCCTCGGCGAGCGAGGCCCATCTTCAAAGACATCGTCGTGAATCTGAGCGACTGGCTCACCTCGCTTGTCTAGAGCTTTCGTGGCATCGCCGTGGAATGAGATCGTCGTGCGTCTAGGTCTAGCGCCGGTGGTATGCGATTTTGAGGACAAGGAAAAACGTGAGGACCATTTCTTGGAAGTAGTCTCGGTGTTGGCTACACTGTCGTGTCGAGACTTCTCTTGGGCGTTCTTGAGCTTGTGATCGGTGAATGCGTGACCTTTGCCGTAGTTGTTACGTCGGCTTGGTTGATGGTGTTTTTGTCCGGGCATCTCGGTGGTTCGCTCCGTTGTTTGTGGTATCGTCCGAATTATGTAGCCGATGTTTCGCGATATCAGTGCAACGACTCGTCTTATTGTAGCAAGCTGATATGAAAGTGTTGAAGAGGATCTGAATGACTTCTTATACGACGAGCAAAACCTCGATCTAGACATTTCGAGGAAGACAATAGCTATGAAACGAATCAGAAATACCAGTAGATCTGTCTCACTCCTAAACCCACATCTGACAGTTCCACCAAAGCGAACAGCTGCGCTGTGTTCAACTACATCTTGATCGAAGTCTGCGCTCTTCGCAGACCTGGTATGAGCTGCTAGTAGGTGCGCTCGCTCACCTAGCCAACCCCTTCGGCCCCGCCCACTCCCCCTTAACATGATACTTCCCATACACCCACGGGAAAAAGTCCTTCTTGAGCCAATAAAACGCCTTCCTGGGCACCCCCTGATCAATCCCAAAAAGCGAATTAAACGTCTCTTTCGGCACACCCCCATACTTGAATTCCGCAAGTAGAACCTCTTTCCTTCCCGTCAACAAAGGACAAGACGTATACCCGTCATAAGCTGCCGTCAACTCCTTGCCCTCCATCGCAGACAGTACGTTAGAAACAAGTACCGGTGCTTCGGCCGTGATAGCTGCGACGGTCTTGGAGGTGGGTAGCGAGGACGCGTCGCCTATCGACCAGATATTGGGGTACGAAGTGTGTTGCGTTGTGGTGTCTGAGACGGAGACGTAGCCTGCTTCGTTGGCTAGAGGGCTGGATTTGATGAAGCCCCAAGGCACGTTCTTAGGCGCGACGTGCAGGAAGTCGAAGTGTTTTTTCACTGGGGTGGGGGAGTTGGGGGAAGTGAAGGTTGCGGTGTTGCCGGAGATGGAGGTCAGGTCGTGTTGGAAGAGGCCCTCGACCCCGCGTTCTACGCGGAGTTTTTCGAGGGTCGCTGCGCTGGATGAAGGTTAGCATATGACGTTTGGTTGTTCCTGGCTTGAGAACTTACTACTTCGGCACCCCAAACATCGTCGGCAGCCCCGTCGCAAACGCAACATTGATATCCTTCGGATACAATCCCGCCTCTTTCCAATAATCCAAAGCCAACCACATAATCTTCTGCGGCGCCCCCGCACACTTCACAACACCCGCCGGCTGCGTAAACACCGCATCCCCCTTCCTAAACCTCTTCACATTCTCAAACGCCTTATCACAATACCTATAATCATAAATCGTGCTAACCATAGCATCTTTCTCCTCTAGCGCCTCCTTCAGCCCCCCAACACTCCCATAATCAAGCGTAATACCAGGCACAACAACCAACTGCTCATAACCAATCTTCTCCCCGTTGCTCGTCAGGACGTAATTTTGGTCCGGCGCAAAACTTCCTACAGCGCTGTTGTAGAATTTGAAGCGTGGGTCCATGAGGTCTTTCAAGGGGCGGCGCAGGTCTTCTTTTTTCTTTAGACCGCCGCCTACGAGCGTCCAGCCGGGTTGGTAGTGGTGCCATTGCGCGGGGTCGATGATGGCGATGTCGTCTTGGGAGAAGTTTCCTTTGCGCAGGAGTTGGTGGGAGAGGGATATACCGGCTGAGCCGCCGCCGATTACGACGATTTTGTGGTTGCGGGTTGGTGTTTGGACTGGTGATACGGTTGCTAGACTACGGATGGAATGTTGGAAGGCGGGTCGCGTGATCTTGGTCGCGGTTTGCGATGCACGTTTGAGGATTAGTGCGGACATGGTGGCTGGGATTCGCGACTGTCCGCAAGGGCTAGGAAGGTAAAAGGAAAAGTGGAATGTAAAGACAGACAAGAAGGCTTACACAAAGAGGTACGCGGTGCCTCCGGTCCCCGACTAAACATTTCATGCAATGTGGGTCAGCGGCTAGCATCTCAGGAACGACCAATGAATGAGGTGGAGATGGGGACTAGCGTGATCACGACATCGATGGAAGAGTAAGCCAGCAGTCACAACCAAACATCACAATCACGTAGAGACACAAAGTGTAACTATACACAACATAACATTAACTCATTTTAATCATGAAAACTATATAACAGACATCCTATCCCAGCGACTTTTTACAAGCGCGACAATCCGGCAATCTCCCTCGGGGCGTGGTAGTTGGGGACCTTCATGTCGAGAGCGCTGCCGCTGTAGCCCAAGTCCTCACCCGTAAGTACGGCGCACTTCTCGCCAATGAGGAGCGCAGTCGAGTACGTGTTGCAACCGACGTTGTCGGGGCAGATGGACAAGTCGGCGACCTTGAGGCCCTTGACGCCGTGGACGTTGAGGCGCTCGTCGAGCACACCGTGCTTGACGATGGAGTTGCCGTTCCTGGGTGCCATGGAGCAGGTACCGAGCGAGTGCCAGGTGGTCTCAACGTGGCCTGTAGCGCGTTAGTGAGATGTTCGACGAACCATGAGTAGGAGGATACATACGCTTGGTCCAGTCCTCAATGTGCTTGATGTCCTCGGTGGAGTACTGCAAGTCCTCCTGAATGTCCTGGCAGCTCGAGCTCAAGAAGTTGGGCTTGGCTGCACGACCCTTCTCGATGGGCATAGTCCAAGATCCGTGCTGGATACCGGCCGTGATGTTACCAGGGAGCGCGTAGGCGTTGGTGGTTTGAAGATCCATATCCTTGGCACGGGCTGGGCTATCGTAGCTGTAGAAGGGGTGCATGGCCTGCACCTCACCAGCGTAGGCGTCCATACGGCGGGCAGTCTCACGGGACTTGATGTAACCCCAGACCATAGGAGCCATGTCGCGCTTGTCGTTCATGAAGCCAGCGTCAAAGTCGGGGGCCTCGTACGGGTTTGGCGACACAATGTGCGTGGAACCACGAGAGAAGGGATACTCGAGGAAGTGGAACATGGTGAAGAACTTGCCCGGTGGCATGACCATGTGGTCACCGAACCAACCAGCAATGACGGAGTAATGCATGACGGGCTTGTCGGGCTTGTCCTTGAAGTACGAGTCCCAGCCAGAGCGGAACTCCTTGCATGGCCAGCTGTCCATCATGTTGAGTTCTTCCTCAGTCGGTCGGATCTTGACACCAGCCTCGATACCGTTGGTGGCGAGTGGGCCAGTGCCGTTGATGTTCCATTGCTGGAAGACAGCCTCCTGGACCTTGGGGTCGCCACGGACGAAGTCATCGAAAGATTCGACGTGAGGCTTAGCGCGGTAGGTGGCGAAGGTCAAGTAATGATCCTGGAAGTTGAGACCAACACCAGGAAGATCGACAAGAGGCTTGACGCCAGCCTTGCGGAGCTTCTCTGGGTCACCGATACCAGAGCGCTGAAGGATGAGAGGAGAGCTCAGAGTACCACCGGAGACGATGATCTGCTTGCGAGCCTTGATGACCCTCGACATCTGCTGTTCGGGGTGGAGAGGCTTGGTCGGGACAACCTTGACGCCAACGGCGCGGTCTCCCTCAAGAATGACCTTCTCAACCTTGTTACTGGTGAGGAGGTGCAGGTTCTGGTGAACAGCGCGGGTGCTGTGGATGTAGCCGTGAGCAGAGTCAGATCGTCGTCCGGTGTCGCGGTTGATCCACTTGAGCCAGTGCTCGGCACCATGGCCAGTGGTCAAGTCCTGGAGATCGTCGGTGGTCGGGATGCCCTGAGATTCGGTGGCACGGAGGAAGTCCTCCTTGATCGGGTAGGTGTAGTTACCGAACGAGACCTTGATGGGTCCCTCAAAACCGTGGATGTCGCGGTTGTTGCAGGAACGTTGGTAGGTCTCGTGCTTCTTCATCAAGGGAATGAGCTCCTTGGTGGTCCAACCCTTGGCCTGGAAATCGTCGTAGTCGGAAGCGGAGGCACGAGTGTACATCTGATGGGAAGTCAATAACTGCTAATGATAATGTGAATGGGGGGCTCTTACCATGAAGTTGATGGAAGATCCACCTCCGAGGATGTTGGCGACAGGCACAACAGCTCGGCGGCCATCGAGCCACTCTGAGGGACGAGAGTAGTAGAAAGTGGCAGTCTTGCTGTCCAGCTTCATGTTCCTCGGGTAGATACCCGGACGGAAGACCCATGGGTTGTTCAGGTTGTTCTCTCCACCCTCAATCAAGAGGACCTGGAGGTTGTGGTCGAGATTGGCCAGACGTCCAGCAACCACACAACCACAAGAACCACCTCCACACACGATGATGTCGACCTCATCGGGAATCGTCATCTTGAAGGCTGTCGATGAGATAAAGATATAATTAGAAAGGTGTTATTGTTGTATCGTTGACCGCAGGAGACAAGTCAACTGGGCATGATGCTCTTCTCAGTCGAAGGCACGACGTCTCTTTAAACTGTTCAGACCCCGCATCTCCAGGATCTTCGGCTTCAAGGAGGGCCCGTCATCTAGGCTGTGTCACTACGCGCTGCTCATCAGCCGTCAATCCCGATAGCAGCAAGATGCATGCACCGAAGAGGGGACATGTACCATTTGGCCAGCCTCCCCAGCCAAAGAGGCTTAGACGTTGGCTACGACCATCCATCATGGGACCGCAGGGGTCTCCGTCGAGGCCATTCGAAGGAGAGCGGCGTGTTAAACTTGCGGATCCGCAAGGTAGGCTGCGTCTATGCCGGACTTCCACAGGGTAGGTGCGCAAGCAATGATTGGTCGGAATGCTCGCGCAAGGATACCAACCGTTCCGACGGTACTGGATAAAGACCGGACTGGGATAGACGCTGCAGATGTCGCATGTTTGCTAGTTGGGTGCGGAGAAGCCTCATATCCAGTAAGAAGGCATGCTCGGTTGCGTATACAGGCCCACTCTTGGGGGTAAGCATTGCGGACCCGAAGCTGAGAGGCCACTGTAGCGTCCCCAGGCGTCGAGCCCCAGCGTATCACGTACGAACAGGAATGAACGAGGCGTTTGAGTGAGCCACCATCGGGAAAGCGATAACCGAGATGTGAAAATCCGTTCATGATAGATGCGTAGAGAAGGAATTGGTCGAAGATCTTTGCGCACGATTTCACAATGGCACAACAGATTCAAGCACTCTCTGCTATACTTGCCAGAGCTCCAAGTAGCTCCAGGATGATGGTCCTGGAAGCTCATGCAGCTGCGGCAAGTGGGATTAGCTCGCGCCTTGCTGCGGGGGTCACAGTATACCCGTGCATCTCTCGTGGAAGAATGCGGATGTGGGGTGCAGTAGTCGCTGTGCCTCACACGCTCGGCGCACTCCCGAGGTCCCAACTTGGATGGAGGTATCGAAGGCATTGAAGGTTATCAGCGGCATTGAGGCATCGATGAAATACCGAGAGTCAGTAAAGACAAGATATCCATCACTATCCCTCTAACTCCACGTCGCCCCCACCCAGTGCCACGATGTTGCAGTAGTCGATGTGCCTCACGTTGGGAGGAGGTGTACCCTTGGCATCGAAGCTAGTGTCAGTAAGTGCGGGGTTAGCTCCGCTTCGAACCACGGAAGAACGGTAAGCCAGTCTTTGTAAACGGTGTCTTGCGGGAAAGGAATAGCTTCCTGCTGTAACATGTAACACACCCTGTCCGTCGAAAATAGTCTATATCGAGCTTGCTGCTAGATGCTGTGAGCCGCAAACCCAAAAGACGTCTCCTAATTTCACGATATTACCTTATTCCCGAGGTACAGTTCGTGTCCACTAAACTGTAAAACCTCAGCGATCGCAACTCTGTTCGGATAATTTGAAGCGAGATGAACGTGTTTCTATCGAATCATACTCAGCAGTAGCTTCATTGAGAATGCGTTGAAGTTTGGCGGTCTTGGAGCCGTCCAGATCGGCAGACTACCGCGAAGTTCCTTTTTTGAGGCTGCACGAGGCTGCGCGACACGCGCCACTATGTGACTGACTCGTCATGAGTGCATGGGTTGGAGCTTACGTGGAGATGGTTATGCAGACGCTGACCGGAAAGTTTCCGTTTCCTTGAAAGCGCTATTCTGTATGTCAAGGAGGAGGCTGGGGCACGCGTTGCATCCGCGTTGTACTTGGCATCGGCCGTCCAGGCCGCCAGTCAGCGCGAACTGCGCCCTGGTCCTGAACGGTCCTTCTTCGAGCCTACTCCATCTCCGGATGTGCCGCGATCCACCTAGCGACTCTGTGTTGAATATCGATGTAGCTTCGCGATATCAAATTATTGCTAAACCTAGCAACACCACCGGCTATTGTGCTGGAGCTACTGTACATCCAGATGCGGATCCGATGGGAGCACACCGCTTGGAACTGAGATTGAATCTGAATCTGTAGAAGGTCCGAAAGTCTAGGGATACATGATGCATCTACTCCTCATGACACCCATCGTGATCTGGGTATCGTTTTTCCAATATTCCAAGATGTCTTGTAACGCCGAAATGCAATTTTGTAAGAGCGGAGAATGGAAACCAAAGACGCCGTGTATGCCGAACAAACGCTAATAAGCAAAGCAATGGAGGTCTTCAGATGATCTCGTGTCGCTCCCAGCCTGTCGGCTTCATGTGGGCAAGGTCCTTGGTCGGATGAGGCTCCTCTGGGTTCCGGTATTCGCTCACGTATGGGTTAGGGTCTTCCTTCTGGTCGAGGTTACCGAACGTGTGATTAACCTCTCGGTGCTTGGATTCGTCTGCGCGGACTAGGATTGGGTTAGTGGGCTGTGCTGCATGGAAGGATCAGGGGTATACGCACTGTAGAGGAGCAGATCTCGCATTGTGCGGTGGCCTTCAGGCATCTGCCAGTAGTCTACCGCGATCTCGGGTGCCTCCATCTTCGCCCACTTGGGCAGG